TTGAAAAGCTTGCAACGGTGAAGAAAGTTATTGTCTTTACTTCTCTTGAAATTTGCTGAAGAGCACTGTCGCTCGCGAAGGCATTGAATCTGGCATTGGTACTCATCAGTAACATGTAATACCCTGGTTGGGTTTCCTTGTTTATAATGATCAGGTTTTATATGAAACAGCGTTGACCTTGAATCAACCGAATTTGCGAATGGGAAATTTGAGTCACAGATAATCAAGATAACTGATACTTCAAAAAACGAAAGAAAATTCGCTAATTTCGCCATCAACCTAAAGTAGAGAAATACTAAGCAAAGAAACGACAGACGTCGTCCGCAACAGCAAACTAGAAATGACTAAAATTTAGAGTATATTTTGTTATCTATGTCACTGCACCGCACTGCAATATCTGACTAAAACAAACAAAAGATTTTTTGATAATTATTGTTTTGACATATTATTTTTAAATAACGGGGACATTTCCAATTGAAAAATCAATACTGTTTTTAAGGAAACATTTTTGCAAAACTTTACTCAAACAAAAATAATTTTTGGTGTTGGTTAATAACATGCTTCGCTGAAGTTGACACGTTCATCACTTTTTCTCGCGTTTTTCTTTTCATCGATGTAGGGCACAATTTGCCATCACACTGTGATAGCTCTGTCAATTTGAAAACTGTGAGATTGTATGCTTAGTCCAAACTTTCTTTTATTAGTTTATATTGCATGGAAAATGACACGATCCAATTTAAAGTCACGATAAAAATGTGCTATAGGACAGGAGAGTATTTGTTTTTTTAACCCACTTTATTGACATAAAGCTAGGGAATTTTAACCTTTTTTACTTGCTCTCTACGCGCTTCGCATCAATGATGAGGCTTGTATAGTTATCACATGCATGTTTTAGTCGAATTATTTTAGCTATTAGCGGTGAATTGGCAATCTACACTCCGATATTTAAACACTCGTCGCAAATTATTTCGCCTTTCTGTCAGTGAAAATTAAAACAATGCTCTTTTTAGAGCTTAATGAATAGACTTCTATGACTTTTTCGTAAGGCGCACTTTTCTGTTTTCATCACATTTTTTCATCTATGTAACTATTCTTAGACACATGGAATAATGGAATCGGAAAACATAATTGGAATTTCACTTTTTAACCCTAYCTTTCACATACAGTCAGGTCAATCCAGAAAGAAGAAACATTTATGGGACTAATCTTGCCTTTATTTACAGGAGACATTAGAAAATACGGACTTACGACTCTATCGTTATCGATCCGTCGACGAATGGTAAGGAGATGGTCTCTATTCGATGGCGGATCCAGAAAGTTGCAAACGAGAAAACAAATCAAATGGATAGATTTCGAACTGCGGAAAATAAGATGTTTCAAATGAGATATATTATAGAGTGGGTCTCATTCAGATTTCTTAAAATTTCTTACTATTAACTTAATCATATCAAAATTTTTTTCCGACTCTTCCACTATAAGTGAACTTTCAACAATGTTTACTTACAATACAAATACTAAGTTAGAGTTTATTTTATCTAGTTTCTCATGTCAGTTTCAATGATCTTGTTCCTTTAATTGGATTTTTGTTTGTTTTCTAAATGGATTATAAATCATTTCTCGACACGCTTCTGAAAATTAAAAAATTGTTATCCTTTGGTAATATTTTKAATTGGAGATCTGCAGTTATCAAGATCGAATCTATCGACTTACAAAACGGCGAGGAGCTCTTGGCATTTTGTCTTGTGTAGTAAAAATACACTTTGAGTGCTGTAGCTTGATAGATATACMTGTTTACCTTTACGATAATTGCTAAAGTCATTGTTAACTAGTCAAATAGCATTTTTACGAGAAGCTTTATATTGGGAAAACCTGGCATGCTTCTCACATAAATCGCTTTTATATCAACACTGAGATGATGGGCAACAGAAACAATAAGCAGTCGCCTCAGTTTTAATAATCCCAGTTTTTTGAAATGAACTTTAGCTATGATAGACAACTTATAGTTGAGGTACCTACACAATATGCTTTTGCCAGGACTCAGACATTATTTAGGAGTAAACACTGTGAGTAGAAGATGCAACAATTCAAGATTTTAAAGCTTTAAAGAAAATATTACGATTTGCCAATGGTCATTCTAAAGGCCTCCTTACATGTACATCATTTTGTTCAATCAACTCGAAATTTTAGGTTAAGATTTTATTGAAACTTCGTCAGTATATCAATTATGTTATTAAGAAATGATTCTGAAAATTTCATTACAATCCCTGCGATGAGTTTCGAGAAAATTAATTTTGAAGAAAAATGAAGGTATTTATATTTTGCATCTGGAGGGCTTCATTTTTTGGCAAATTWATTTATCAACAAGAATTATCGATAATCACTGTGATTTCTGTGAAAGTTTGAGTGCAATTGAATCGAAATTTGCGACATAGTTGGAGTTTAAAAATACGCGTGAAACGCTATTTATTACGATCGAAACACCTTAATACAGAGTGCGGATTTCGTATGAGTTTGCAAAAAATCATAGCACTCTCGAGCTGTAACGGTGTCTTGACGGAGATTTGATCTTGAATCACTATTTTCATATGTTTATTAACAGGCTAGGTTCCGTGTCCATGGCGTGATCATCCGTTCCTTAGCACAGTCATACGAAATCACTTTTAATGAGCAATCAGCCTTTTTCCCGTTCAATGCGAGCCACACCCCACTCAACAACAAAACTATCATTCCCCATGGTAATATAAGTACTGAACAACAGAAAGGCGAGGAAATTGCTGCCAGAGATTACTCCCGTGTGCAAAGGCGCACAGAAACTTGACGGCAGGAGAGAACGAGATGACGAGCAGAAAAAGAAGATGAAAGAAAATACAGACCTGAGACGCAGAGCTATAGAATGAAGAGTGAAACCGGGTCAGAACGTTATCGTCAGACAGCCCATGACGTCAAAGCTATCGACACCTTACAGTCCCAAGCCTATGGTCGTCGAAGAAGTCAAAGGTAGCAACTCATCTCATTTCAAGACAGTCAATCAGATGAAGTTGTACCGACTGTTGAAGACAAAACGGAAAGGGTACTAGACTCGACAGACATTTCAACACCTGTATCCGTAAGGTCGACCAGAGACAGAAAGCCGTCCATTGGCTAAAAGACTATGTAACTAGTTAAAGAACTCATTATAAACACTCTTTCAGATTACAATCTTGTTGAGCATTACTTTAACCCTCGTCAAAGGGGTCGCTCTCGTTTTTATTYATAAGCAATATTTTACCAGGCCACCCAATTCAGCGTAGGCTGGTTTAAATGGGGGCATAACAATTTACAAGACATATTCAACGCATTACATCACATTACATAAAKTCATTACAATTACATATCATGGAGAAAAAAGGTGAAATAGTGCAAAACTATTTACAAAGATACTGCTTCAATTTTGTTTTGAAATTAGTAAGAGAAGTTATACTTCTCAGATAGGCCGGAAGTGTGTTCCATACTTTGGCACCGTTATACAGAAAAGAGCTCTGAAATTTAGATGTTTTAGCCAGCGGTAAACGGATTTGGTCTTTATGTGTAGTATTGTAAGTATGGAAGTCACGAGAAAAGGAGAATTGGTTAAGAAAGAAAATTTGTTAAAAAGAAAATATTTGTGATCATTAATTAGACAATTTGAATGGCAAATAGCAAAAGTGAGTTGAAGTCGSTGGCCTCTTAAATAGCGCGCTAAAGCACTACATATCACCAAGAAGGCCCTACCAAGACATCACAGCGCTTGCGCTAGTCACAAGACTATATGATTGTTAAAAAATTGGTAAATAGGCCTTAAAGAACACGCCTGTGAGCAGTGACCTGTAGGGTAGAGAGCCGCAGTCAAAAGGGACCTTAGCAGCTTAGATGCCTTTTACAATGACATCGCCCATGTGTTTAATTTGGGTGATCATTTTAATCAGTTTCCTCTTGTTTGTGTAGATAGATTGTTMTCCATAACAACCAGGCATGTGATTGTTTGTGTATAAACTAAGGCGCTTAATTTCCCTTAAGACAGAACTGGCTGGATAGACTAGTCTATTTTGAAGTAAATAAAGCCCTTTGTTGAGAGTTTTCATTAATTTTCTAAATTTTTCCATTATACTAATTGATAACATGTTGACATATAATTGATAGCATAATGAAATTTTTAATGATATGACCAGTCGGTTCTGACAAATAGAAAGCGAGGTTAAATTATAAACTTAGACCATTAGCATAAATAGTGTGTTATCGCGCTTGCTGCATAAAACACCATACAGTCCTAAGGTCAACGCTAGTATAGATTAGTACAACCATAAAGCTCCATTCTCATTGTGGGCCATCCTCTGAATCCTTTCACGATAAGTCGAATATATCTGGCTCTCATTGGCATTTCAAGCTTGTTCGTCACAATGGTGTTTTTATCCGTGTTACCTGGAAAAACCTGGAAAAAGAGATATGGTAGACTATTGAATCAGCGTTAAMTCGTTAGTTCCAAATACACTCTTCAAAAACTCATACATAATTAATGAGCTACTAGGCCAATAGAATGAGCCTAWTTGGTCACATGCATGGAYCTTTATATCTGATAAAACACTCCTTATTAGTATTCTTTATATARAGAATATTTGTKTCGTCTGTTCGATCGCACATTGAGTGATCTTTACCGTTACCCTGATTACAGAGTCTTTTATTCTTTTGCTTGCTATATTATCGAGCGGCGAAGCGGCGAGACTTTTCCGTTAATCGGTTTGTTTTTTGGCGTAAAAACACTACCGTTTAACCATGTTTAACGGAAACGTCTCAACGCWTCGAGATCACATAGTTCGAGCTTCTTAGCGAATAAGAACGCACTTGTAAGATTGAGTTGATACAGCAGCCATTGAGAGCCTGTTATACTTATAACCGTGCAACTAGGCTGGTGGTCTAGAACACGAATTTTTGTGATAATTCGCAGACGGTTATTTTGGCGAAATAAACCGGATTTAACGCAGGCTAAAATCCTCATGATGATATTCTATAGAGAAAAGGGTTTAGACTGTTTCATAATCAACGCCCACTGCAACTTTCGGTCTAACATTCTGATTTTCTATTTCGACGACTTTGGATCTTTTAGAGCTGCAAATACCTTGATACAGTCCCCTTGGTAGTGTTTCCAGTTCGTGCYATCATCACTATACGACAACGAATACTTGGTGACCCAATGATTGTGGCAGCAATATCTTCCTTGTGTTGCTACCATGGTGATGACATTGATGGAGCCAAGGTCGACTTGGATGTATTCCCCAGTCTTCCTGGAACCTGCAGCCCATCCACCAATACCATGATTGTCATATTTCTTGTTAAGCCGGCCATTTCTAGTTGAGAATGGAACATTTTCTGTCAATGTGTTCTATAGAAATGTGTGCTGACGTACTGTAGGGCATTACTATATACGGTCAACATTTTACATTCATGCAGCTGAGGTATTTCATATATCAATGGACTGATAAACTATTCTAATAAAATATAATGAAAAARTTACTCAATTCTGATTGGCTGATAWMAYMTCWMWWTTAATTCTTAATTCAGTGCAATTACAATTCTTGAGCAGTACAAAAAGCTGTAATATCAGTGCAATTACAAACAAATTTGCGCTTTTGATTGGCTAAGAAACAAAAGAAATGTTTTCAGCGAATAAGGATAAAGCTTTCTTTGTAACTGAAAACGTTTCTCAAGAACCCMACCGATAACAGAGAAAAAAGTACTCAAAAAYTATCATCAAGTGCTTAAAAGAAATAAGAAAAGCTTTCTCACTGAAGAATTGGACTAGGATTTTGTATTTGTGAAGTTTCAAGCTTGCTAGTTACGATTTTAAGACGATTTTGCATCGAAAATAGTCTCGCCCTCCTCACCCGTCCAGCTCGATGAAATTCAGTACAGTTTCAACGTGAAACCAGCTCAAACACTGGCTTTTTTTCACATTAGCTAGCAAGAGGTATATTTCTGTTTGATTGACAATGTTTTTATTTTTCAAATTCAAATAAATTGCTTTAAAGTGGAGTAAATCCTCATTTTTTTTATCAGTAGAAATGACAAAAGTACAAGTTTTGAAACTGAACTTTGTTTTGCTTCAATGTTTTGATTTCTTTTGTACGAAAAAAAATTTATTATAGGTTAGAAACTAATGTTTTTTCCTAGCTTTGATAGTAAGAGAAGTGTAAAAATTGTTTTTCAAGAAGAAAATAAAAATAATTATAGTATGTATTGATGGACTTTTTATCGTTGACTTCTTGTCTAGCCTTGTCAGTTTTGGCTTCAATTTTTTCATGTATATTATCAATAAGTAAATACGGCCGAACGCAATTATGGCCTCTTTGAAAAACAAACGAGTGCAAATTAATTCCAAATTAAACTCGAAACCATCTTATTACCTRTACAAACTGTATTTGATTAATTAATATGATCATTGTGTATTTAATTGACTAACGAATATATTTAAGAATATAAAATTTTTGATATATAACGCGCGCTCTGATTGGCTGACGACCGTGTTTATATCAGAGGACAGAGACACGGCTTACCGGCRAAATTTTYTTYWCGCTCGAAAAAWTTTATAAAAGAAATATAAAACGGCGCGCGGRTMTCTGTCCTCTGATATAAACACGGTGGGAGTTCGAAAAACACGAGAGAAGCAAGCTTAGGAACACGAGCGTAGAGAGTGCTTCTCTTGCTTCTCGAGTATGCTCYYCGGCAAGGCGAATCCCCAACTCTAATTATCATAATAATACCAAGGGAGGAATATTACACTTTCTACTGCTTGAGTTCCTTACTTTGCTGAGTTTCTGGTATTATTTTTAGTTTTGAAAAATGACGAGGATGTAATCTGATTGTCTTTTATTGCTCTTGATTCCATACCCATTGCACTTGCACATTCTASAACGAGTTGAAAAGAAAAAAAAACTGATCCATAATGAGCGTAAAATCACAAGTGATGCAATAATTGCGGTTACTTCCGTCTCAAGACTGGTAACCACTATTCATCGATGCAAACAGCAAAAATGCAAACGAATTGCAAACAAACAACAAAATACTTCCAAAAACAAACTAAACTCAAAGTGAATTACATGTACCCCATTGTGGGTTAAGTCTCTTATTAAGAGGATAATTCAGGGCGGATCCTGCTGGTAGGTGCAGGGGTTGCACACCCCCCTCCCCCCCCCCTCCCCTGAGATCTGTATCCTTCAATACTTTCCTTATTTTGTATCTTCATGGAAAGTCTTTTTGTGGGGTGCACCCCCTACTGCGTGCACCACACCCCTCCCTGAGGAAAATCCTGGATCCGCCCCTGTATTTCAATCTTATTATCTATAATTACTATGTATTGATTGTGCATTGTAATCATATTCAAACTGAAGGTGGCTTTATGAAATTCCACCAGAAACTTTCAAAGTTTTTGGGTGAGGTAAGCTTAAGAGTTAGAACCAGCATGATGGAAATCCGACATAGCAAATCAATATCTAACAGCTGCGTGACTCGAAAGTTGAGAGAAAAGTTGTTGGTTATGCACAGCTGCAATGGCATGCACTTTGCTGCAGTGTGATGGTGCGAAGAGTAAATCGCAGTTCTACTTTGTGCAGCTCTAAACGCAACGAAAAAAATTGAGAAATGTCTTCGATTACTGCAGTTCTTCAAAAAACTTATCTTTCGACGGCGTTGCGAAACAATTTGCCAAGAAAATTGTAAAGTGTAACAATATTTTAATTAAATAACACTCACTCCTTCATATAACGCAAGCGTATTGATTGTTTGATGGTGTGAATTGACTAACACTTTATCGATATGAGGTATTTATAAATTGTTACAGAACTGGTTCTCCAGGTACGGCTAATTTGACTTACCAGTGATGTTAATGTCTGGTACTACTGGACATTCTTTAGTTTCTCTACTTGGTCCAGAGCAGGACAGACCGTTGAAAGGAGAGGGACTGGTACAAGATCTTTTTCTTGTAGGGACGCAAGTCGATGGTAAGGAGCAGTTATTCCACTTCCAAGACCCCCACTCACTCCATCCTCCATCTTTGAGTAAAACAGCCACAGTTAGCCATGTATTTCATATGAATAACATAATGATGACCAAAGGTTCTTATTTGAAAGCAAATGCTATTCAGTCATATTGCAGGCATGACAAAATGCTTTTTAGGATGTTGCAGTGATCTTTAAAATGCTAAGGAACAAATTGCTACAACAAAAGGCTCTCGCCATTTTATAGGTTGAATATTAATCTATGACTGCATGGCCAATAACTGCGCGAGTATTTTGACGTTACTAATGACGACAACAGCATGCCTGTTTGCAGAGGTAATTCGACTTATCGTTTAACGTTTTTCTTCAATTAAAAGCAGTTTCAAAAGAAAAGTCAATAATTTATCTGCTTCGCTTGGACTGTTCAATAAAATAGACGTCTTATACATATCATATAGAATGATACTTGCTTACCTACAATCGTTTCGTAATAGTCAACTCTTTTCCCAGAAAGAACATCTTCTTTTGCATTTGTCTTGAAAAGCTTGCAACGGTGAAGAAAGTTATTGTCTTTACTTCTCTTGAAATTTGCTGAAGAGCACTGTCGCTCGCGAAGGCATTGAATCTGGCATTGGTACTCATCAGTAACATGTAATACCCTGGTTGGGTTTCCTTGTTTATAATGATCAGGTTTTATATGAACGAGCGTTGACCTCGAAGCAACCGAATTTGCGAATGGAAAAATTGACCTACAGATATTGAAGATAAAAAATACTTCAAGAACCCAAAGAAAGTTTGCTAGCTTTGCCATCATCCCAAACTAGTGAACTACCTAAACAAAAGACTGACAGACGTCGTCCGCAACAGCAAACGAAAAATGACTAAAATTAAGAGTGTATGTTTTTATCCAAGTCACTGCACCGCACTGCAATATCAGGGCTAAAACAAACAAAAGGTTTTTGGATAATCATTGTTTTGACATTAAAAAGAACGGGGACAATCCCAATTGAACAATAAATACATCAGTACTGTTTTTCAAGGAAGMGTTTCGGCAAATCTTTACTGAAAGAGTGCTTATTTTTGGTTATGTTCAATTAATAAGACGCTTAGCTGAAACAGATTTTTATCAAGAATGTATTTCTGTTCTGTTCATTTCTTTTCTCGCGTTTTTCGTTTCATCGATGTAGCTCACCATTTGTCTTAACACTGCGACCACACTGTCAATCTGAGTACTGAGACGGTATGCTTAGTAGTACAAAAAAACCTGCTTATTTTTTGTTGATATTGTATGGATGATGACAAGCGCAGTTCAAACTAAAGTCCCGATAAAGACCTGCTATACGACAGAAGAGTATATGTATTTTTACCCGACATTATATGTACTTCCTCTTTAGTTGCCTGCCGGGGAATATTGACTTTTTAACTCGCTCGCGCGCTTTAATTAATTTGCATCAATAATGAGGTGGTTTGTACAGTAATAATTTCCACATGCATGTGTTAGTTGAATTATTTCGGCTATTAGCGGTGTATTGACAATTTGCTATCGGTTTACCAACTACAATCAGATATTTGATCGGTACAGGCGACGCAAGTTACTTTGCCTTACAAACTTTTTTTTTAAAGGAGATCTTAAGAAGTAGACTTGTACGACGTTGTTTGGTGGCGTACTTTTCTGTTTTCATCACATTATTTCATCGTCATTTGTTCCCTAAACGCATGGGAAAATGAAATCTATTTGTTCAATACAGCATCAGAAAAAACATAATTGGAATTTTCACATGCAGTCACTGAAWCAGAAAGAAGAAACATTTATGTGAACAATCTTTATTTACAGTAGGTACCAGCCAGTAGCTATCGAATTAAYCTTGACTCTATCGGTATCGATCCGTAGAAAATTAAAGATAGAGCGGATTTCGTATGACTGTGGAAAAGCACGGATTACAGCACGGACACGGCACGGCACGGTCACGGAACCTCGCCTTATAGGATTTCAAATGAAGGTAAAGATTTTCCAATGCATCACGGCTACGGCACGGTACGGTCACAGCACGAACGTACCTTGTTTTTTTGCACAGTCATACGACATCCGCTCTACCATTTTTCCATTTTAGAATCACCTCTACTAAGTGGTGGATCGTCCAGAATGTTGCAAACGGGGATGGCTTACTAAAAAAAATGGATCGATTTTGAGCTGCGGAAACTGATGAGATTTAYTTCAGATGAATGGCGCTTTTTCAGAATGGCATTGGTATCATTCAGATTTATTATAATTTCTACTTAATTTCCGACCTTTCCTCTTTCCACTTAGCAAGCTTTCAATAATGTTTTCTTACAATGTAAATACTAAGTTGAAGTTTATCTTATTCCATTTCTCAGTTTCAATGATCTTATCCATTTAATTGTATTTTTGTTAGTTTTTTAGATGGATCATAAATCAATTCTTAAGTTAACATTTCTTGACATGCTTCTGAAAAGTAAGAAAATGTTTATATTTTCATTTGATTCGAAGATCTGAAGTTATTAAGATCAAATATGTCGACTTCACGGAAAACGTCWAGGAGCTCTTGGATAGAAAAAATGAATAAATCTCCACAACTTTGAATGCTGTATAGCTCGCCTTAATAGATATCATGAAATGTTTAGTTTTATGTAGATAGTATCGTTACGGCTTTCATGAGGAGATTCATATTGAGAAAACCTGTAGTGTTTCTCACATAAATCGCTTTTATAGCAAACACTGAGACACTTTTTT